TTTTTCCCCAAGGCTTAATAATAAAAGTAGTAAAAGACTGATATGGCAAAGATAACAATTCTAAAAGCAATAAAATTATTATTTTGCTTTTTAAAAAGCTATTGGAATGGGGGAGTTAATTATTCTTACAGTCCAGAAATAGAGGATCCTAAGGCCATCAAGGGAGAAGAGCACAAGCAGAATGTGGGACCCTGTCCAGGGAAGCAATGACAACTAGAGATGGAGGCAGAGATGGGGACATGGAGAGAGGGAGCAGTTGAGGACTCTAAATTCATGCAAAGAGTAGGACTAGGAGCGGGCACCAGGATACAGGCTTGCAGAATGTGCCCTTTGGTGATTTAAATTATTATATATGCCTGACTGTTTAAAAAAGAAATAGAGCTAAAATGAATAGAGAGAAATACTATTAACTGATGGTACATGGAGGGGATTATAATCATTGTAATGAAACAAAGTATATGATTTGTTGAATGTAAACTGAGGATCTGCCCTGTAAACTTTCACTCAATTCACAGTAAAAACTTTTAAAAAAGCAATTGGAAAATCTAGAGGCAATAAACAGTATTGCAAGATGAGAGCACAGGTTTAAAACAAATCATATTCCAGTAGAAAGAAGAAACTGATACTCCATACAAGCAAATGCTGTTGTTATTATTAAGTGCCATCAGTCGTTCAGGAGCTCCGGTAGCGTAGTGGTTACGAATCGGGCTGCGAACCTTAAGGTCAGCGGTTCGAAACTACCAGCTGCTTCGCGGGAGAAAGATGAGGCTTTCTACTCCCGTAAAGATTTACACTCTCGGAAACCCTGTACAGGGTCGCTATGGGTCGGAACCGACTCCACGGCACTTAACAACAATAACAACATCAGTCGTTCAGACCCATAGTGACCCTGTATCGGTTTCCGAGGAGTGAGCGCTTGGTGAATTTGAACCGCCCACCTTTAGGTTCAAATCGACCTTGCGGTCCAGTGCATTATCCTACAGCGCCACACCAGAAAGTAAAAAAGACAACAGGCTTAATAAACTAATATTTTAAAGTGAAGGTGTAAAAGCAGAACAAAAGGAACCCTAAGTATTTAGAATTAACTCATAAATGCACCACTGATGTTTGGACTAACATTTTGTTGTTAAGTGCCGTGGAGTCGGTTGCGACTCATAGCGGACCTCTATAGGGTTTCCGAAGAGCGGCTGGTGAGTTTGAACCGCTGACCTTGCGGTCCAGTGCTTGCCCTACAGCGCCACACAAGCCAGGAGACCTGGCAGCATTGTGGATTATGAGCTGGGCTACTAAACTCAATGTCAATAGTTTTAATCTACCAGTCTCTCGGTGGAAGACTCACGTAAAAATTTACAGCCTAAGTGTGGCAGCGTAGGATCAACACTGGGCTGCGAACCATAAGGTAGTCAGTTTGAACCCATCGCTGCTCCTCTGAAGCGCTATAGAGGGTCTCTATAAGTCAGAACTGACTCAATGGCACTTAACAACAACATGAGTCAAAATCAACTAGGTGGCACACAACCATCAAACCATCTTGTAGGAAGTCCAAATAAAACAGTGACAAAAGTTATTACAGCATTATTCGGAAGTTAATATCCAGAAATTTGAAATTGGAGATAAATTTTTTAAACAACACAATTCGACCAAGAAAAAAAGAGATAGGTTTTAACCCAAACTTCTAACAATTGCGTAATTCCACTACACCATTTACTAACCACAACAAAATCTACACTTGTGGGTGTCATTACTTGTTACTCATTTGGTTCAAAAGTATTGTCATTGTTGTTACGTGCTGTGGAGTCAGTAAGAACTCATAGTGACCCTGTGTAGGGCTTCTGAGAATGCAAATCTTTGTGAGAGCAGAAAGCCTTATCTTCCTCCGTTGAACGGCTAGTGGGTTCAAACCGCTGACCTGTGGTTTAATCACACGATCTAAAGATAATTTAATTACACTTTGTTGTTGTTCTGAAATGCCATCGAGTCGGTTCCAACCCATAGCGACCCTGTATAGGGTTTCCGAGGAGCAACTGGTGAGCTTAACCGCCGACTTTGCAGTCCAAATGACTTTGCAGTCTGGCGCACATTGCCACAGTGCCACACCAGGACTCCTTTTTTAAAAACCCTCTAATTACTGTAAACAAAAGATTTGTTAAGTGCCATCAAGTTGGTTTCCGAAACTTTAAATCTTTGGGGGAGCAAAAAGTTTCTTCTTTCTCCCACGGAGTTGCTGGTGGGTTGGAACCACCAAACTTCTAGTTCTCACACCAGTGCTTATCCTATGCATAATTAATATTGAATGATTTAAATTGAAGTGTAGATATCCGAGATTTAGAAAGCGGAATTTTGAAATAATATAGGTAAGTTACTCACTTTGGAAGAAAGATCAATATCCACATCCAGCTGATCATCTCTAGCTCCACCAGATGGACAAGGCGGAAGGCTGGGGCTGAAAGCCATGAGGTCCGTTTTGGGCTGCCCCTCCCCAGAGCACACCCTTTGCCGCCTTTGCTGTGAGTATGACCAGCTCCCTACCGCACTGGAGCACACCAGCGCAGGTTTCCCCGGCCCGCATGAGCCCTCTGTAGGCGGCGCCGAGCAACGCAGCACCGTGTACAGCAGCAGCGTGAGCACCAGCAGGCTGGATACCGCGCAGATGGCGACAATCAGGTACACGTTGACATCCACCAACGCAGCCTCCGGGCCAGCTGCACCAGACGACGCCCTTAATGATGTCTTCAGCGCCTGACCGCTCTCCACCAGCGACACCAGCACTGTGGCTGTGGCTGCCAGTGGCGGTTCACCATGGTCCTTCACCAGCAAAAGCAGGCGCTGGCGTGGCGCGTCCTCCTCGTCCAGGGAACGAGTTGTGCTCACTTCGCCTGTGTACAGACCCACGCGGAACGGGCTGCGCTCGCCGCCCGCCATCTGCAGTAACTCATATGACAGCCACGCGTTGTAGCCCGAGTCTGCGTCCACCGCGCGCACCTTTGCCACCACGTGACCCGCGCCCACGGTCCTAGGCACCAACTCGCTTATTGCGCCTCCTGCGCCGCCAGACGCAGGCGGTAGCAGTGCCGGCGCGTTGTCGTTCTCATCCAATACGAACACCTGTAGAGTCACATTGCTGCCCAGAGGCGGGAAGCCCGCATCGCGCGCGCTCACCTGGAACTGTAGCAGCTCCAGCTCCTCGTGGTCCAGTGGCTGCAGCGCGTACACCTTGCCGCTCTCGGCGTGCACCGACACGTAGCTAGACAGCGCGCGCTCGCCCACCCGCCGCTCCACCAGCGAGTAGGACACCAGCGCGTTCTCCTGCGCGTCCGCGTCGCGTGCCGACACCGTGAAGATGTGGCTGCCTGGAGGGTTGTTCTCCTTCACAAACACTGTGTACTCGGGCTGTGGGAACGTGGGCGCATTGTCGTTCACGTCAGCCACTTGTACAGTCACGCTGGCGGTGGCCGACAGCGAAGGTGATCCACCGTCTCGCGCTGTCACCACCAGTGTATAGGTAGACACTCGTTCGCGGTCCAGGGCGCTGTCCAACACCATCGAGTAGTAATTCTTAAAGGCGGACACCAGTTTGAAAGGAATAAGAGGCGTCAGGAAGCAAGTTACCTGTCCGTTTACACCCGAGTCACGGTCCGACACGCTTATCAGAGCGATAACTATGCCAAGTGGAGCGTCTTCTGACACAGGTATTGATAACGATTTGATAATCAACTCAGGTACGTTATCATTGGTGTCCACAATTTCCAATAGAACAGTGCAATGACCTGCCATGGGGGGAGTTCCTTTATCCGTTGCTTCTACCTGGATTTCATATGACTTAATTTCCTCGAAATCTATGTTACCTTTTACAATGATGTGTCCATTGACTGGATCTAAGTGGAATTTCGACAGAATATCTGCGGATGTGTCTGTGTTGAAAGAATATACAATGTCCTTATTTACTCCTTCATCCAAATCAGAAGCATTAACAATCACTGCCAGGGTACCACTTGGTGCATTTTCGAATAATCTCACTTTATAAATCATCTTCTCAAAAGTTGGAGCGTTATCATTTACATCTAGTACAGTGATTTTCAGTTGAGTTGTGCCAGTGAGCTCTGGTTTTCCACTATCAACCGCTGTAATTACTAAATGATGCTCAGAAGTTTCTTCTCGGTTTAAAAGTTTTTTCAACACAAGTCCAAGATGTTTTATCTCCTCATCATTTCTTTTAACATCCAAGGTAAAGTACTCATTGGCGGTAAGCCCATAGGTCAACAGAGAATTAGTTCCTATATCTGCATCTGATGCGCCCTCTAGCGGAAACCGAGAACCAGGGTGTCTGGATTCATAAATAAACAGATTTTTTACTGCCAGTGGAAAAATTGGAGGATTGTCATTGATATCCTTCACCTCCACCTCCACATGGAAAATCTGCAACGGCTTGTCCACGATCACTTCCAGATGGATGCTGCACACCGCGCTCCGCCCGCACAACTCCTCACGGTCGATCCGAGAATTCACAAACAAAATGCCATTCTGCAGATTCACTTCCAGAAGCTCCCCGCGGCCTTTGGAATCCAACTGGAACAAGCGCGGCACCAGCTCTGCCAGTTCCAGGCCCAGATCCTGCGCGATGCGGCCCACGAAGGTGCCGTGTTTGGCCTCCTCTGGAACTGAATAGTGGACCTGGCCGCTCCCCACCTTCCAGGCTGCGAGGAACAGAAACGAGAGCAGCAAACGCCTGGATCCCAAATCTTCTCGCCAGGAAAACACCATTGCAAGACTTCCAAATATTGGATCTCTCTAATATTTATCCAAAGTTAGAAGCGCAATGAGATTTACTTATTTTTCGTTTCTTGAATCTCCTTACCGTGCCGGAAATTCGGAAATGGTGTCGAAAAGGAACATGTGAGTACGTAAGGCAAGCTGTATTTCTTTTGTGGAGAAAGACCTTGTGGTGCGCAGCGACATCATGTGGTTAAATGTTTAAATAAATGGCATTTATCTTCTTTTCCTTATACTTTGTCCGAAATTCCCAAGCGTCCAATGTTCTTCAAGCACTCCTCAAAGTCTTTTTTTGCATCAGTATATATCCTTAAAACATTTATCGCAATTAAGCTCTTTCAATTATGCCAATTCATGACATACAGTACAATATTAATAGTTAAAACAGTAGATGATATCTTTGGGAATGTTTTCTATGTGTCAGACACTGTTCTTTTTGTTTTAATGGGATTATCTCATTAATTCTAACAACAGCCCTTTGAGATAGGTATCAATATTATTCATTAAAAAAAAACACACATAAAGGTTAAATAACTATTTGGCTGCTTTAGGGTGGGAGCTTATCTGATTCAAGATTCCAAGCATTTAATCACTTGGCGTTCAAAGCTATATTTTACAGGAAAAAATTTCTTTGAGATTTGTTACTATCAAAGCTTAGAGACATGGAGATATTTGTAAAATGTGTGTGTTGTTGTTAAGTGCCATCTAGTTAGTGGGTTCTGATCCTAGAGACTCCATATAGGGTTTCCAAGGAGTGCTGATGAGCTTGAACCACTAAACTTGTGGTTCAAACTGACTTTGCACTCGAGCATTAACCCACATTACCACTCCAGGACTCCAAAATGTTTGTATAAACCCATGTTTCATGTTGTTATACTTTTTTAGTATTATGGGAATTCTCAATTGACAAAATAAGCTCTGTTAAATCTATTAATTGGTAGAGTGTCTATAAAGCCCTCCTGTATCCTTTATTCAAGAACTATATCCTTGTAGCTATCTTACCTATTATATGTAAGAAGATGCTGAAGTCAGTCTCTTACAGTGCTATTCTTTTATAGATTTTTTTGGGGGGTCCATGACAATACTGTATCTTTGGGAATCCAACTGGAACAAGCGCGGCACCAGTAATCTGTTACATTCCCATTACATCAAGCAAGATTATATTTGTTTTAAATTTTTCCATATTGTTGATACTTTTGAATTGTCCTTAATAGTCTAAGATGTTCCCATATGAAATAATCATGGGGTTTCCCCCCTTAATTTGGATGATCTCCCTTCTAGATGATTTTTCTCAATTCCTGTTTCTTAAAAGGTTGTTACTTAAAAACATTGGTGAATTTTGGAACATGTGTCACTACTCAACATATGTAAAATTAGGCAATGAAATGTTCTAAAGAGCTCTGTGAATACAGTGAGAGGAATGAGTTCTCTGAGCATCTGGAAGTTGAGCAAAGGAAATTCATGGGAAGAGGTTGAATTTAGTCGATAGTCACCCTTTTCAAAAATGAACCCAAACCCATAATTTAAGTATTACTAGAAAAGTTTTCATGCCAGTATTGTGTGGGTATGCACTTAATGAGTGCAAACAAAGATGGCATTGTATTCATTTTTATCCTTCATGTACAGAATAAAATAAATGATAAATGATGTTTTAATTAATAAGTAAACTAATATTTTACAGTAACTTTCTCAAGCCAGATTAGAGGCGATCTACATTAATGTTTGATTATATTAAATATAATTAAGCTTGTTGTTAAGTGCCTTCAAGTCAGTTCTGACTCATTGCAACCCTGTATAGGATTTCCTGGTGAGTTTGAAAAAGTGGCTGGTGGATTTGACCCACCAACCTTGTGGTTAGCAGTCCAGTGCTGATCCTACAGCACCACACCAGGACTCCTAATCAAGCATACTTAATCTCTAATTGATTCTATTGTAGTAGTTCATGAAGAAAAGATAAGTAAACACTTAAGATTTATTACTGAAAGTCATAGATTTAGAAAATAATTATAGATTTCAATGTACCCATTAGTATGTTGATGAATTGTGAAAGGTAGTAGATATTTTTTTAATGAAAGATAAAATCACACTTTTAAAGCATCATGAATTTCATATTAATGAAATGCATCTAATATATCATTGATTATAATGCTACACTGGAGCTCTGGTAGTTTAGTGGTTACGAATCGGGCTGCGAACTGGAAGGTCAGCAGTTCGAAACTACCAGCTGCTCTGCGGGAGAAAGATGAGGCGATCTGCTCCTGTAAAGATTTACAGCCTCGGAAACCCTATTCAGGGTCGCTATGGGTCGAAACCGACTCAATGGCACTTAACAACAACAACAACAACATAATGCTACACATTTCATTACATTTAAGAGTTACAGTAATTGCAAAACAGAATGACACAAGAGAATTTGAAAGAGTAGATTTCATAATTATCATCAGGAGATGAATATAATACTAAAGGAACTTTGAGTTTAGATTGAGCCAATGTGAGGATAAGGAATAGTGAATAATTTCTACTCTTAACCTAGTTATTCCCTTAGACAACTTTGTTTTTAAAAATGTAAATAAGAATCAGAAACTAAAAAGAATTTATAAATCAATAACTTGTGATGCCTAGAGATCTGGGCACACCTGGGCACAATTTTAAAAGCTTTTCACTTACCTATGGTAGAGATGTAATGTCTAGGCTTCACCTGACCAAACAGAAGTCCCAAGAACAGGTAGGGAGAAGCTATGAAACTATGTAGAATGGCTCCTCCCAAGAAAGAGCTTTTTCCTCATGTATCCAAGCCATTTATTTTTCATAGCCAAGGCCTCAGATGAAATTTTCTGATTACCAGGAAATACTTATTCTCTGCATCTTACAGTTTATTAGCTTGGAGAAGCTGTTAATAATACTACCCTTAAATGGACTTAAGATTTCCTCAGCAAACTTCTCAACCCCTGTAAACATGGAAATTGATGCTCTGGCCTATCTGAAATGATTGAGGCTAAGATCACTGAATGGAACTTACTTCTATCATCAGTATTCACATATATTTGGGAGAAAACTACCAAATAACTAATAACCAAATAGAAGGCCATTTTATATTAGTGTGTTAACTGTACAACACAGGAGTTTCAAATGATAATGTCACAAAATATCAATTTTATCTTTGAAAAACTTCAAATTTCATTAGGATCATAGATGCAGCAAATTGAAAAAAATGATGAATGAAAAGAGCTGAACAGAATATTTCAAAAGACATCTCAAAAAAACAAAGTAAAATATTATAATAAAATGTGGAAAGACCTGAATTTAGAAAAATAAGAGGTAAAAAATACACTCAGCATGTCTCAAGTTGAAAGAATAGAAGAAATATCTCAAGCCTCAGGTTATAACATTGAAGAATTCTATGGGCAAAACAGTGCACTGGACCATAAGGTCAGTTTGAACCACAAGGTCGACAGTTAAAACTCACCAGCCATTCCTCGAAAAACCCTTTACAACATTTAACAACAACAACAACATTAGGCAAAATAGTGAATGACATGGAAACATTAAGAGAAAATGGAAGGAATACACAGAGTCACTGTTCCAAAACTAATTGCTTGACATTCAACCATTTTAAGAGGTAGCATATGATCAAGAACCTATGGTATTGAAGGAAGAAGTCCAATATGCACTGAAGGCATTAGAGAAAAAATAAGTCTTCAGAAATTGACAAAATACCAATTGAAATGTTTCAACAAACTGATGCAGCACTGGAAAAACTCACTATTCTATGCCAAGATATTTGGACAATTTGGAATTAACCAACTCAAAGATATCCTACAGAGTCAGGATATTATCTAACAATATCATTAATATCAAGTAAAATTTTGCTGAAGATAATTAAAAAAATGGTTGCAGCAGTACATCAACAGGGAACTGCCAGAAATTCAAATGGGATTCAGAAGATAACATGGAATAAGAGACATAAATGCTTATGTCAGATGGATTTTGACTGAAAGCAGAGACTACCAGAAAGATGTTTGCTTGTGTTTTATTGACTATGCAAAGCTATTTGACTATGTGGATCATAACAAGCTATGAATAACATTGTGAAGAATGGGAATTGTGGAACATTTAATTCGACAGAACAAGAAGATACTGAATGGTTTAAGATCAGAAAAAGTGTGTGTCAAAGTTGCCTCCTTTTACCACACGTATTCAATCTGTATGTTGAGCAAATACTCTGAGAAGGTGTACTATTATGAAAAAGAACCCAGCATCCAGATTGGTGTAAGACTCACTAACAATATGCAATATGAAAATGACACAACCTTGCTTGCTGAAAGCAAAGAGGATTTGAAGCACTTGCTGATGAAGATTAAAGACCATAGCTTCTATTATGCATTGCAACTCAATGTAAAAAAAAAAAAAAATTCTCAAAACTGAATCAATAAATAGCATCATGATAAATAGAAAAGATTTAAGGTGTCAAGGATTTTATTTTACTTGGATCCACAGTCAATGCTCATGAAAGCAGCAGTCAAAACATCAAATGAAGTATTGCATTAGACAAATCTGCGGCAAAAGACCTCTTTAGAGTGTTAAGGATCAAAGATGTCACTTTGAGGACTAATGTGCATCTGACCCAAGCCTTGGTATTTTCAATCACCACATATACATGTAAAAGCTGGGCAATGAATAAGGGAGACTGAAGAAGATGTCACTTTGAGGACTAATGTGCATCTGACCCAAGCCTTGGTATTTTCAATCACCTCATATACATGTAAAAGCTGGGCAATGAATAAGGGAGACTGAAGAAGAATTGATGCACTTGACTTATGGCAAGAAGGTTGAAAGTACCATGGACTGCCTGAAGAACAAATAAATTATTGGAAGAAATACAGCCAGAATGCTTCTTAGAAGCAAGAATGGTGAGACTTGGTCTCATGTACTTTGGACATGTTGTCAGGAGGGACTAGTCCATGGAAAGGACATCATGCTTGGTTAAGTAGAGGGGGCAGCAAAAAAAAAGGAAGATCCCAAACTATATGTATGGCACAGTGTTTTGTTCTGTTGTGCACAGAATTACTGTGGGTCAGAATTGATTCAATGGCAGCTAACAGCAACAACACAGATGCTACCAACTGAAATTTAGTGAGCCTCCAAAACTATGAAAAATGTTGCATCTAAAGTGACGTGCCAAACGTGATCAATTATAAGGTGACTCCTGAAAACAAGAATAAACCTAATCTTTTAAATACTCATGTGGCATTCCACTTACAGTTAGTGTAACTAGTAAATGTCATGAAATGTATATACAGTATTATAATAAATTGCCAGAAGCATCTCATTAATTCAGCGTGAGGCCTTTATACATTAACCCAATTCTAATTCTTAATATTTACTTAACTTTTCTTCATAAACGACTACAAGAGAATCAATTAGAAATTAAGTAAGCTTGAGTAGGAGTCCTGGTATGGCACTGTAGGATCGACACTGGACTGCTAACCATTTATTAAATTAGGCAAATCTGCTACACGAGGCTTCTTTAAAATGTTCAAGAGTAAAGATGTCAGAAGACTAAGGTGCACCTGACCCAAGCCATAGTATCTTCAATAACCTCATATGCATGTGAAAGTTGAACAATAAATAAAGAAGACCGTAGAAAAATTGATGCATTTGAGTTATGGTGAAGGAAGAGAATATTGAAAGTACTATAGACAACCAAAAGGACAAACAAATCTGTGTTAGAAGAATTGCAGCCAGGATGCTCTTTAGAAGCCAGGATGGCGATACTTAGTCTCTCCTACTTCAGACATATTATCAGAAGGAACCAGTTCCTGGAGAAGGACATCGTGCTTGGTAAAGTGGCGGGTCAGTGAAAAAGAGGAAGATTCCCCCCCACACACTGGATTGACACAGTGGCAATAGCAATGGGCTCAAGTATAGCAACAATTGTGAGGCTGGTGCAGGACCAGGGAGTGTTTCCTTCTGTTGTGCATAAGGTCCCTATAAGTACAAACTCAATAGCACCTAACAACAACAGTCATGATCAACATGCTAATGTTATGACTTTGGGCTAGATTAGATTTCTTCACTTGTATGAGGGGAAAAAACCACCATATGGTCATAATGTGATTTTTAAATGTTAAAAAATTCTAATTGAACAAAACTAGGTGGGTTCTGTCCTCAGCGAACTCTCTAGTGTGACTTAAAACTCCAAAGATACAGTAAATTTGAAATTTTTTATATCAAATTATAGGTTATTCTCCTTTTAAAAGAAATAACTAAGATTAGGTATTATAATGATCTGTTATCAATTCAGAGGGTCCTTGCATTAAAAAGAGGAGCTCTGGCAGCCCAGTAGTTAAAGAGCTAGGCTGCTAACAACCAATTCAATGGGAGAAAGAAATGGCAGTCGGCTTCTGAAAAGATGTAAAACCTTGAAAATCCTATGGGGCTGTTCTACTCAGTCCTGTGGGATCACTATGAGTCAGTAGCTACTTGATGGCAGTGGGTTTGAGTTAGTATTAAAAGATCCATTCAAGCAGCTTTCAAAGACAAGGGGGGGAAATAACTATTACATAAACAGTTAAAGACAAATGAATTCATAGTCCCCCAAAGAGTCTAGAAAACATCCAAATATATTCTGAAAGAATTAATAGGTTGTGCAAAATGTAAATATGTATTATAATCAGATTATTAAAATTTTTCCAATTGATTTTTTTAAAAAACTTGAAAGAAATATATCTATATGTAAAATTAAATTTTGCCAAGTGTTTTCAATCCCCTTGGACTCCCGGTGTGACGCTGTAGGATCAGCACTGGGCTGTGATTGACATTTCAAACCTACCAGCAGCTCCTCACAAACCCTATACAGGATTGCTATGAGTTGATACCAACTTGAGGACCCTTAACAATAACAACGTTCAATTCAAGAATCTACTATTCATGGAAATATTTAATTATGGAAAATCCAATTGGAATAGAATTTGAATTAAGGTAAATAAGAGAGCATTTAAGTAATTCTAAATGCAAGATGTCTAAGTTATATCCCAGATTGCATGTCAAGATGATATAGGATAAAGGCAGATCTATTAACCCAAATAGTTAATTGGTATCAAAGGAAATAGAATACCTCTAGAATGGGGGTGGGGTGGGATTTAAAGGCTCACCTTTCCTAAATACTCTGATCCGGAGGGCTGTTGTTCTTCTTCCGTGGAATCTGGGCCAGGAGGTAGGTTGGGGCTGAAGGCCATGAGGTCAGTCTTGGGGCCCTCCCCAGAGCACACCCTCTGCCTCCTCTGCTGTGAGTATGACCAGCTCCCCACCGCACTGGAGCACACCAGCATGGGCTTCCCCGGGCCGCACGCGCCCTCTGGAGGCGACGCCGAGCAACGCAGCGCCGTGTACAGCAGCAGCGTGAGCACCAACAAGCTGGACACCGCGCAGATGGCGATGATCAGATACACGTTGACATCTACCAGAGCCGCCTCCCGGCCCGCGGTCCCCAACGACGTCCGCGATGACGTCTTCAGAGCCTGGCCGCTCTCCACCAGCGACACTAGCACGGTGGCAGTGACCGCAAGCGGCGGCTCGCCGTGATCCTTCACCAGTACTAGCAGGCGCTGGCGCGGCATATCCGCTTCATCCAAGGCGCGCGTCGTGCTCACCTCGCCGGTGTACAAACCCACGCGGAACGGGCTGCGTGCACCGCCAGCCGCCGGTTGCAACTCATACGACAGCCATGCGTTGTAGCCCGAGTCCGCGTCCACCGCGCGCACCTTCGCCACCACGTGGCCCGCACTCACAGACCGTGGCACAAGTTCGCTCACTGAGCCACCTGCGCCTCCGGACCCAGGCGGCAGCAGCGCCGGTGCGTTGTCGTTCTCGTCAAGCACGAACACCTGCAGAGTCACATTGCTGCCCAGAGGCGGGAAACCCGCGTCGCGCGCGCTCACCTGGAACTGTAGCAGCTCCAGCTCCTCGTGGTCCAGTGGCTGCAGCGCGTACACTTTGCCGCTCTCCGCGTGCACCGACACGTAGCTCGACAGCGCGCGCTCACCTACCCGCCGCTCCACCAGCGAGTAGGACACCAGCGCGTTCTCCTGAGCGTCCGCGTCGCGCGCCGATACCGTGAAGATGTGGCTGCCTGGAGGGTTGTTCTCCTTCACAAACACCGTGTACTCGGGCTGTGGGAACGCGGGAGCGTTGTCGTTCACGTCGGCTACTTCCACCAACACGCTGGCGGTAGCCGTCAGGGAAGGTAAACCCCCATCTCGTGCTGTCACCACCATTGCATAGGTCCACATGCTCTCGCGGTCCAGAGGGCTGTCTAGCATAAGCGAGTAGTAATTCTTGTAAGTGGACATCAGCTTGAAGGGGTCATGGGGTGTCAGGGTACAGGTTACTTGCCCGTTAGCGCCGGAGTCGCGGTCTGATACCGTAATGAGGGCGATGACCGTGCCCAGTGGAGCATCCTCTCGGATGGGTAGTGAAAGAGACGTTATTGAGATTTCTGGTCTGTTATCATTGATATCCACGAGTTTTACTGAAATTTTACAGTGCCCTGACATTGATGGACTTCCTTTGTCAGCGGCAATGACTTGAATCTCATAGGATTTCATTTCCTCATAATCTAATTGTCCTTTAACTCTGATTTCTCCTGAGCTAGGATCCATTTTAAACTTGCTCTGTACAGTGGCGGGCACATCACTACTGAGCGAATACACAATCTCGCTGTTTGATCCTTCATCTGCATCAGAAGCGTTTAGTTTAACCACTAAAGTTCCATTTGCGATGTTTTCCAGCAATTGTACTTTGTAAACGGATTGATCAAAGCTAGGTTCGTTGTCATTCACATCTAATACTTTAATAAGCAGTTGGGCGGTGCCTGTGAGCTCAGGTTTGCCCCCATCAGTAGCCATCAGTAACAAATTAATCTCAGAAGTTTCCTCTCTGTCCAGAGATTTCTTCAGTACAAGAGACAGAGATTGGCTTAATTCATCATTTGTCTGTACGTCTAGAAAGAAAACTTCACTGGAGCTGAGCCTGTAGGTGAGAAGGGCGTTTACTCCGATGTCCTCATCTGATGCTCCCTCTAGAGGAAACCGTGAGTCAAGCAGCCTAGATTCGTGAAACCAGATCGTTTTTACTGTCATTGGAAACAAGGGCGGGTTGTCATTAATATCCTTCACCTCCACCTCCACATGGAAAACTTGCAGCGGCTTGTCCACGATCACCTCCAGGTGGATGCTGCACACCGCACTCCGCCTGCACAACTCCTCGCGGTCAATTCGAGAATTCACAAACAAAATGCCGTTCTGCAAATTCACCTCCAGAAGGTCCCCGCGGCCTTTGGATGCCACCCTAAACAAGCGTGGCACCAGCTCCACCAACTCCAACCCCAAGTCCTGCGCGATGCGACCCACGAAGGTGCCATGTTTGGCTTCCTCCGAGACCGAGTAGTGGATCTGGCCGCTCCCTGTCTCCCAGGCTGCATGAAGCAGAAGCGAGAGCAGCAGGCACCGGACTTCTCGGCTGCCTCTCTCAGAAAACACCATTACCAGTCCTCAGTGAGTTGATAAAATTAGAAAATCATATTTTCGAAAGCCTGTAAATATAGTCTTCTTTTCTTTGTTCAAGTCCTGCTGCTTCTCTTATTGTTCCTCTTCTCTGGAGTGAATAAGGGGCTCCTGGTGTTTTTCCTTCGTAGAGAGCACTCTGTGGTAGACAGCGACATCATGTGGCTGAAATGTAGGCTCTACTGTTTATCATCTGAATTTTAAACTAAGCAATTTTCTGGTATAAAGTTTATACATAGCTTCTATTGGGGAAATTATCTATTTTGAACTCTAAAATATATTATAATCCTTCCTTTACCATTCAAACAAAGTGTGTATCAATCAGAACATTTTAGCCAGTTAAAGATATATTTATATATACCTTTATATTACAAAATTACAATTATGTGACTTAATTTTGCTTTAAAATTGTTAACAGATATCTAAAGTTAATTTATTTTATTCAATAATGTATCCTTATAATGTAGGATTGTTTTCTTTTTATTATATTTTGGTTTTGATGAAAGAACAATATAATTAATCTCTTTTTTGTGTTATTTGAGAATATAGTGTGGTATTACTCTTAGTTAACCCTTTAACACACACACACACACCAGAAAAAAACATAACTAGAGTAAAAATAATACTTAGTTAGGTAAGGGCAACCCAGGGGTGGAGTCAGTATACAAAATGCATACTAAAAATCATTATCACTTACTCTAAATAAGTCACAAATTTGTTTTTATCTTCCTAGAAAAAGAGGAAAGCAAAATTAAGATTCAGTGTCCATAAAAGAAAAGCAAAATTCTTGCTCAAAAGAAGCTAGCTTTTCTTGGTAGTGGAGTCCAATACTAATTTTTCCTCTAACCTAGTATCATAAAATGCTTGTTCACATTATCTATGGAAGTATATATTTATATTAATAATTACTCCAATAGTGAACTTCAATTAAATGAATTTAAGCAATCATTTATTGATTTATATATAGACATAGGTAATAATTTACTGGTTTCAAGCAGAACTGGATCTACACATTTTTTTAAATGCCATAGGAAAATATCCCATGTCTACTATTTCTCTTACTATATGTCAACCATCTTCTTAGGTAGACTTTTTCCATTTGATGGTAAAATAGCCAAAGTAGCATTTGGTGGTGGTGTGCCGTGGAGCTGGTTCCAACTCATAGCAACCCTGCATATGGTTTCCAAGACTGTAAATCTTTACAGGAGCAGAAAGCCTCATTTATCTCACACAAAACAGTTGGTAGTTTCAAACTGCCAACCTTGAGGTTAGCAGCCCAACTCATAACCACTATGCTTAGATTTATATAGTACCAGTGTAGCAATTCTCAACAGAAAGAAAAAACTTTTTCCTGATACCCTAGTAAAAATTCTAGATTGATACCCTAGTAAAAATTCTAGATATCATGTTCTTTGGCTCATTTTAGACAATGTTGTCTTTCCTTCAGTCAACCATTTATGATTCTCACACTGGCCAAACATGTGTCACTTGTCCATAGCAAGAGATGGAATCAGACCCACCTAAATTATGTGAACTGAGAATGGGAGGTTGGTTTTTGTGAAGTCTAAGGCAAGATCTCATGTACCCAAATTCTTAGAGCTTAAACTGATTACACATAAAGATTGGCCATTATACCATTACATAGGTTCAATGCAACTATCTTCTAGATGTAATATTCAATATATATATATATAATCAGTAGCCAATAGAGCAAAATGGAATTACTGCAATATAACAGAATTATACATAGAATCCAGGTATTTGATCCAGGAAACAGGCTTGTTTGAGTCTGTTTTTGAAACTGTGTTCAGTAATTTTGCAGGATTTTCAGGATTACATGTTTGAGGGTATGAGATTTTGTGCTGCTATGTAGAGTCTCCAAGAACTTAGAACATTTCCATCCTCAACACAGAGAGATAGAGTATCATTGCCAGAACATAGAATACATTTCCCTCAGTGGGGAAAAGAGACTGAGAAACTATGTTCAACAAATACCCACCAACTTGACATCTTAGTTTCCAATGCTAAAACTGTACCCTTTGCATTTATCAAAGCAAGCAATCAGTTCCATATGCTTATCTGTCCAGGTATTCATTCTCGCAAAACCTTAAACCCAGCCTTCCACAAAACTGCTATAAAGCCATTTTTCTCCTTTTATATAAGAAGAAATTGCAGCACAATAATTTTTTTCCCATGGAGCTCATGTAATCTAATCTGCTTAAGGTCAGATACCTTATTAAAAATGTTAACAATAATGTTTTCCTTTCAGTTTTATTAAGGAGTTCCTGTGTGGTGCAAATGATTAAGTTCTTAACTAATAGCCAAAGGGTTGGTGGTTCAAACACACCCAGAGGTGTCTCAGAAGACAAGCCTGGAAATCTGTTTCCTTGGAAACCCTATGAAACAATTCTGTTCTGAACACATGATGTTGCCCATTGGAATCAACTTAACAGAAACTAACAACAATAATCAGTTGTATTACCTGTTATAATGCTCTTCTCTTATAACTTATTTTGCTCATAATCATTGGATCCCAATAAATACTGCAGTGCATAGAATATTTCAGATTTCCCTCTTTAAAAAGCACAAATTTATTTATTACTCTTACAATGTCTATGTGATTATAGATAATTTCCTAGGACAGCTTTTCTGCAACAATTGGTACAGCATCCCAGATTGCTTTGATCTTATAGCATCTCAATATCAACTTGTGCTACCATGATTAGTGCAACAGGAGAAAAAAAAAAGAAGGAAAGAACTTCACACATCATTTAACTTCATTGACCAAAGCAAATTACATACATACCAATGCTACCTCAGGGCACCAGGAAAATACAATTCTTCAATGTTCCAGAAAAAGAACAGAAATATTGGCAAACAGCACTAGTGGCTACCAAAACAAACAAATTTTCCTTGACTGCCTCTTGGTCTATGTATTGGTTCCTTATGAGCACAATTAAGTGTTCTGAAATACCTATTCTTAACAATGTTATCCATAGCTTGTCATGATCAACATAATCGAAAGTCTTTGCATATCCAATAAAGCATAGGTAAACATTTTTCTGGTATTCTCTGCTTTCAATTAAGATCCATCTGACGTCAGCAATGACATTTCTTGTTCCACGTCCTCTTCTGAATCCAACTTGAATTTCTAGCAGCTTCTTGTTGAGATACTGCTACTGTTGTTTTTTAATGATCTTTAGTAAATTTTTATTTGTATGTGATATTAATGATATTGTTCAATGATTTTCACATTCCATTGAGTCACCTCTCTTTGGAATGGATACAATTATGGATTTCTTCCAATCACTTGGTCAGGTAGCTGTCTTCCAAATTTCTTGGAATAAATGAGTGAATGTCTCCAGTGCTGCATCAGTTTGTGGAAAGATTTCAGTTTGTATCCCATCAATTCCTGGAGCCTTGTTCTTTGCCAGTGCCTTCACTGAACCATTCATTGAATGAATGAATGAACCATTCATTCATTACCATTGGCTCTTGATCATATGCTGTATCTTGAAATGGCTGAACATCATCCATTTCTTTTTGGTACAGTGACGCTGCATATTTCTTCCATCTTCTTTTGATGCTTTTTGCATCATTCAATATTTTGCCCATAGAATCCTTTAGTATTTCAAATCGAGGATTGGATTTTTTCTTCAGTTCCATCAGCTTGAGAAATGCTTAGCGTGTTCTCCCTTTCTGATTTTCTAACTCCAGGTCTGCATATTTCATTATACTTCATTTTGTCTTCTCGAGCTGCCCTTTGAAAATTTCTGTTCAACTCTTTTACCTCCTCATTTCTTTAGCATCTCTATACTGGAATGCAAGTTTCAGAGCTTCTTCTGACATCCATTTTGTTCTTTTCTTCTTTCTTGTCTTCTTAATGACTTTCTGTTTTCTTCCTGTATTATGTTCTTGATGTTACCCCACAACTCTTCTGGCCTTCGGTCATTAGTGTATCATGCATCAAATCTGTTCTTGAGATTATCTCTACATTCAGGTGGGATAGGTTCAAGATTATATTTCGACTCACATGGACTTGTCTTAATTTTCTTTAACTTTAGCCTGAACTTACATGAGCAATTGATGATCTGTTCCACAGTCTGTTCCTGACCTTGTTTTGATTGATGATATGGAACTTTGTCACCATCTCTTTTGATTTTCTGTGTATTCCATCTGGTGAGGTCCATGTATATAGTCATCTTTATGTTGTTCAAAAGAGGTATTTTCAATGAAGAAGTCACTGGTCTTGCAAAATTTTATCATGCAATTTTCAGCATCATTTCTATCAACAAGGCCATATTTTCTAACTTCTGATCCTTCTTCTTTGTTTCCAAGTTTTACATTCCAATCACCAGTAATTGTCAATGTATCTTGATTGCATGTTTGATCAATTTCAGACTGAAGAAGTTGGTTGTTGTTGTTGTTGTTAAGTGCTGTGGAATGGGTTCCAACTCATAGCATAAATCTTTACAGGAGCAGAAAGCCTCATCTTTCTTCCACTTAACGGCTGGTAGTTTCGAACTGCTGACCTTGAGGTTAGCAGCCCGATTCGTAACCACTACGCTATTAGGCAGTAATAACCAAGAACCAGACCAGTTGTGGGATGACATTAAGAACATCAAACATGAAGAAAGCAAAGGGTCTTTTAAAAGACTGAAACAAAAAGAGACTCTTAAACTTGCTCTTGAGCATATAGAAGCTGAAGCAACTGGAAGAAACGAGGAAGTAAAAGGGCTGAGCAGAAAATTTCAAAGGGCAGCTTGGCAAGACAAAGTCAAATATAATAAAATGTGCAGAACCTGAAGTTAGAAAACCAAAAGGGAGGAACACATTTGGTATTTCTCCAGCTGAAAGAAATAATGAAAAAATTAAAGTCTTGGGCTGCAATATTGAAGCATGCTATTGGCAAAATGGAGTACTGATGCTATAGAATAAGCTCTGGCTGTCAGTTCAAACCTATCAGCTGCCCCTTGGAAAGTCTATGCAAGGTTGCAATGAGTTGGAACTGACTCATTGGCATTTAATGACAATGTATTGAATGGTAATGGAATGGAGTCCTGGTGTGGTGCTGTGAGTTAATGCGACAGACTGCAAAGCCATTTGAACTGCAAGGTCGGTTGTTCAAGCTCACCAGCTGCCCCTTGGAAGTCCTATACAGGGTTGCTATGGGTTGGAACCAACTCAATGGCACTTAACAACAACAACAATAATGGAATGGTATTGTAAACATCAAAAGAAAATAGAAGGAATACACAGAGTTAATGTTCAATCATTTCAAGAGGTACAATATTCAAGAAGTCTTCGTGTGGCAGTGTAGGATAACTACGTGACTGACAACCACAAGATAGGCAGTTCAAATCCACTAGTAGCTTTTCAGAAAACTTACTAAACAATTTGTTCTACAGGGTTGCTATGAGTCAAAACCAACTCAACAGCACTTAACAACACATGGTCAAGAATTGATGATATTGAAGGAAGAAATCTTAGCTACATTGAAGGCACTGATGAAATACGAGGGTCCTGGAATTCAGAGAATACAAATTGAAATGTTTCAACAAACTAATATAGTGCTGGAGACATACACTTGTCTTTGTCAAGAAATTCATAAGACAGTTATCTAGCCAGCCAATTGAAAGAAACCCATATTTGTGCCCATTCCAAAAAGTGACCCAATAGAATGAGGAAACTATCAAGCGATATCATTATTATCACATGCAAGTAAAATTTTGCTGAAAATAATTTTAAATTGATTGCAGCAGTACATTCACAAGGAGTTGTCAGAAATTCAAGCTGGATTCAGAAGAGAACTTGGAATGAAGGCTATCATTGCTGACATCAGATGGATCTTGACTGAAAGCAGAGAATACTAGAAATATGCTTATTTATACTTTGACTATGTACAGGCATTACCACTGTGCATTGTAACAAACTATAGATAACATAGTGAAGAATGGGTATTCCTGAACAATAATGCACTGGACTTCAAAGTCATTTGAGCTGCAAGATGGGGATTCAAGCTCACCAGCTGCTCCTCAGAAACCCTATACAGGGTCGCTATGGGTCAGATCCTACTCAATGGCATTTAACAACAACAACAATTCATTCTGTATGCTAGCAAATAATCTGAGAATCGGTAGTATATGACAAAGATCGTGGCATCAGGATTGTAAGACCACTCATTAACAACCTGTAATATGCAGATGACACAACCTTGGTTGTTGAAAGTGAAGAGGACTTGAAATACTGATAAAGATCACAGGCTACATCCTTCAGTATGGTTTGTGCCTTAATGTCAAGAAAGCAAAAATCTTCACCAGTAAATAACATCATGATAAATGGAGTTGTCCAAAACTTCAATTTGCTTGGCTCCATAATCGTCACTTAAGCAGAAGTCAAAGAAACAGCAGTCAAGAAATCAGATGTCGTATTGCATTAGGCAAATATACTGCACAAGACCTCTTTAGAGTGTTCAAGAGCAAAGGTGTAAGTTTGAGGACTGAGGTGCACCTGACCCAAACCATGGTATTTCCAGTTGCTTCATATGCATGTGAAAGTTGAACACTGAATAAGGAATATGGTAGAAGAATTGATGTATTTGAGTTATGGTGTTGAAAAAAAAAAAATACTAAAAGTACCGTGGACTGACTGCTAGAAGACAAACAAATCTGTGTTGGAAGAAGTACAGCCAAATGCTCCTTAGAAGCCAGGATAATGAGACTTCATCTCTTGTACTTTGGACATATTACCAGGAGAGATCATCCCTGAAGAAGAACATCATGCTTGGAAAAGCGGAGGGCCAGCAAAAAACAGGAAGATGGATTGACACAGTGGCAACAACGAGCTCAAACATAACAAGAACTGTGAGGATGGCATAGGACCAGGAAGTTTTTCATTCGTTATGCATAGGGTCACTATGAGTCCAAAGGACTCAATGGCTCCTAACAACAACAAGGTCATTCAAGGGGTTGAATGAGGTAAAAAATGAAGGATGTGAAAATAGCTTGAGTAAATGGAAGGTGGTCAATAAATACTTCCTCACTAGTCCTCCTAAATAACGAAATCACACACTAAGACCGAGGTGAATTCAAGGTCAAGGGCATCAGTAAATTGCCCATAATGACAATGAAAGTCATGTATGCTTTAGCATGGAAATTCTAAAAGTATCCAATAGATATATTTTAAACTGCATTTACTTAAAACTATTCTTTTTATTACCCACTTTTAATACCAGCAACCTTAAGAAAAGGCAGATGGTGTCTGGAACTTTACTTATTTGTCCACAACTTGACATTTTACTAGGAGATACAGATAAAATAGGAGCCCTGATAACATATTGTGTTATGCTTTGGCCATGTCAGGGTTGGCGGTTGTAATCCACCAGGCTTTCTGCTCCTGTAGAGATTTGCAGCCTCCGAAGTAGTGTAGGGTTCAATACGAGTTGGAATCCTCTTTACGACAAGCAACAACAGCAACTTAGGTAATAATATCTACATTATGACCACATTTAGATCCTTTGTTAAATATGAATAACACTGCATAGCATATATGGAGTCCTGGTGTGACTCTGTAGGATACGTACTAAGCAAAAAAGATGGCGGCTGAAACCCACCAGCCTCTCCTTGGAAACCCTATACAGGGTCACTATGAATTGGAACCAATTCGAGGGAAATTAACAACAATCGAACATAGTACTTTTTAAAAGGTTCTTACCATTTCTGTCAAGAAGCATGACAATTTATCCCACTTTTTTGTTAGTTTGTTCTTAAATTCCATACAGCTTTAGGTAACAGAATAAATAGTTACATTAAATGGCAAGATTTGGTTCAAAATTAGCGAACACCTTTAATAAAAATTTTAGGTAACATTTGAAAACGCACGTATTGTTAGATAAGGTCAATGAAATTTTCTAAATTGGACTTACATTACACGAAAGATCCGCATTTGCTTCTGAAAGTTCGTTTCTTTCTGCCATGTTCACACCCGGAGGTAGACTGGGGCTGAAAGCCATAAGGTCGGTCTTGGACGGCCCCTCCCCAGAGCACACTCTCTGACGCCTTTGCTGTGAGTATGACCAGCTCCCCACCGCACTGGAGCACACCAGCATGGGCTTCCCCGGGCTGCACCCGCCCTCTGGGGGTGGCGCCGAGCACCGCAGCGCCGTGTACAGCAACAGCGTGAGCACCAACAAGCTGGACACCGCGCAGATGGCAATGATCAGGTACACATTGACATCTACTAGCGCTGCCTCTGGGCTCACGGCTCCCGACAACGCCCGAGACGGTGTCTTCAGAGCTTGGCCGCTCTCCACCAGCGACACTAGCACGGTGGCCGTGGCCGCAAGCGGCGGCTCACCGTGATCCTTCACCAGCACTAGCAAGCGCTGGCGTGGTGCGTCCGTCTCGTCAAGGGCGCGGGTAGTGCTCACCTCACCCGAGTATAGACCCACGCGGAATAGGCTGCGTAAGCCACCTGCCGCCGGCAGCAGTTCATACGATAGCCACGCGTTGTAGCCCGAGTCTGCGTCCACTGCGCGAACCTTCGCCACCACGTGGCCCGCACCCACCGACCTCGGCACAAGTTCGCTCACTGCACCGCCTGCGCCTCCAGACCCAGGCGGCAGCAGCGCCGGCGCGTTGTCGTTCTCATCCAGCACGAACACCTGCAGAGTCACATTGCTGCCCAGAGGCGGGAAGCCCGCGTCGTGCGCGCTCACCTGGAACTGTAGCAGCTCCAGCTCCTCGTGGTCCAGCGGCTGCAGCGCGTACACCTTGCCGCTCTCCGCGTGCACCGACACGTAGCTCGACAGCGCGCGCTCGCCTACCCGCCGCTCCACCAGCGAGTAGGACACCAACGCGTTCTCCTGCGCGTCCGCGTCGCGTGCCGACACCGTGAAGATGTGACTACCAGGCAGGTTGTTTTCCTTCACAAACACCGTGTACTCGGGCTGTGGGAACGTGGGAGCGTTGTCGTTCACGTCGGCCACCTCCACGGACACGCTGGCGGTAGCCGTCAGGGAAGGTGAGCCCCCATCTCTTGCTGTCACTAGTAGCACATAGGTCGACTCGCTCTCGTGGTCCAGGGAGCTGTCCAACACAAGTGAATAGTAATTCTTGAATGTGGACAACAGCTTGAAGGAAATATTGGGGATCAAGGTGCAGGTCACCTGTCCGTTAACACCAGAGTCGCGATCCGACACGCTGATCAGGGCGATGACGGTGTTGAGTGGAGCGTCCTCTCTGACGGGCAAAGACAGTGAAGTTATTGATACCTCAGGGACATTATCATTGACATCTAGCACATTCACGAGGACTGTGCAGTGCCCTCTCATTTGCGGAGTACCGTTATCCGATGCTTCCACTACGATTTTGTAAGAGGTGATTTCTTCATAATCTAAATTCCCTTTTAGTAGTATTTCTCCAGTATTTAAAATGATGGTGAACATTTCTGTTACCCTGAAAGAAATATCATTACTAAAGTGGTAGGTAATCTCTTGGTTGACACCTTCATCCGCATCTGAAGCATTTAACTTTATCACAGATGTCCAGTTTATGGCATTTTCCCGAAGACTTACTTCATAAATCGATTGTTGAAACTCAGGGGCATTGTCGTTGACGTCTAGTACCTTGATAAGCAGTTTCATACTGCCTGTGAGTTCAGGTTTGCCTCCATCTGTGGCTGTTAGTAACAAGGAGTGTTCACGAATTTCTTCTCTGTCTAATGATTTCTTCAATACGAGCAATATCAATTTATTTTTATCGTTTTTCGAAATTACATTCAGCGAAAAATAATCACTAGGGGTGAGCCTATAGGTTAGAAAAGCATTGGCGCCGATGTCTACGTCCGTTGCGCCCTCTAGTGGAAACTGAGAATCAGGCAGCCTAGATTCTAAAATGGACAAGATTTTCTGTGATCCATGGAACACTGGCGGGTTGTCGTTAATGTCCTTTACCTCCACTTCTACATGGAAAACTTGCAGCGGCTTGTCCACAACCACCTCCAGGTGGATGCTGCACACCGCGCTCCGCCCGCACAGCTCCTCGCGGTCGATCCGAGAATTCACAAACAAAATGCCGTTCTGAAGATTTACCTCCAAAAGGCCCCTGCGACCCTTGGACGCCACCCGGAACAGGCGCGGCACTAGCTCCGCCAGCTCCAGCCCCAGGTCCTGAGCGATGCGGCCCACGAAGGTGCCGTGTTTGGCTTCCTCCGGAACCGAGTAGTGGACCTGGCCTCTGCCAGTCGCCCAGGCTGCGAGAAGAAGTGAGAGCAGCAGGCGCCGGGCTCCCGGGCCTTCTCTGGAAGAAACTACCATAGCACAATCCGGTATCAAAACTGGCTGCTTATTTGAGGGCAAAACACAAAAATCTTGTTCTACTATATGCCTCACACTCGGTAAACTACAATGGCCGGATGTGGAACTCCGCCTCTCTTTTGTGTATCTATCACAGCCCTGCTAAAAGCACGATTTCGGGCGAAGGGAGACCTCAAGTGTCTAAAGTTATAAATGCATCAACTACCTAAAGTAAATAGTTTTTATTTCTTAAAACATTACAACACTTTCTCTTAATTTTTACGGTTGCTTTTATCAAATTGATTGTAAATATTCAAAATTTCTAGAAATGAATTCTAAATTAAAATATGATTCTCTATTCTAAATTTACATTTGTTTATTTAAAGCACTGTTCACTGGATGTATAACTACAACCTAAAAATTAGCTTTTCAAATAAATTTAGTACAGAAGTAACTTTAATTTTAAGATTACTACAGAAGCTCAAATACTATAATGTATTGCTTATCAGTCTTGACTATCTGCAATACAATTACATATAACACATCAAAGCAATTGTTTTAAAACCTGAAAAAAATTATTGAAAGTTGATGAATGATCAAATGGATTTAAATGCGTGATGCTGGTCTCAAATCACAAGTATGCAATCTTTTAGAAAGTTAATAATCTGAAAAATTGCTTTGAAATAGAGAAAATCTTAAATAATTAACCTGTGGAGAATGAAAATGGAGACAGATTGTTGTATATTTGATGTAATATTTCATAATATTTTAATGGCCTGGAACAATGGCATAGGAATAGGGAAAAACTAAGACATTTGGTAAATGCACTGGACCTTGACTAATAAATTGAATGTGAGTTTAATATTGTGTTATTGGATCATAAAACCCAGGAACTTTGTACCTGACTGTGGGATAAAGCACTGGAACGGAAGGTTGATTTGAACCACAAGGTCAGCGGTTCACTTACCAGTTATTTCTTGGAAATCCTATACAGGGTTGCTATGAGTTAGAACCAACTTGAAGACACTTAACAACAATCCACTTTGCAACGATTATTTTAAATGCTGTTTCCGCAAGTTTTTCCAAAACAAATGTTAACTTTTTTTATTTATCTTTGCTGCTATATTAGAGAACAGTGGTGTTTCTATGAGAGCTTTCAAATTCACCTCAAGTGTAGCCACTTGTCAGTGGAGTCTAGCATGAAACTGAGAAGGTTTCTGTACACTTCCAAGCCAGTTATTTCTAAAATGAAATTTATCTTGGCATACTTGTAAAACAGAAAGCTTGCCTAGCTGGAAGAGAATAAGGTAGAGTAGTAGAAAATGTAGTCAGGGAGAAAGCAATGGTCTAGATCATGCAGGAGTTCTTTAGACCATTGTAAAGTCTTTGATTTTATTCTAAGCATCATGAGAAGCTTTTTGAAGGGTTTTGATTAGGGAGAATAATGATCTAACTTAAATTTTAGAAATATCACTCTATGTAGGAAAAAATTATAGAAAGGCAAGAATTGAATCAAGAAGACAAGTTGAGAGCGATTTCAGGAGTAAGGTTCATGATAACTTAGAATAGGATTATAGCACTAGAATTTATTTAAACAGATAAACCATTTATTTCAAAGGTAAAGAAAACAAGATGACCTCTCATGAGCTTTAAAGTTGCTACTTACCAAGTAGGATATAAAACAAGTGACTATGGTGCCTTGAAATTATGGTCTGGAACCCCTAGGTTCTTCAACTCCTGGGTCTTGAAACCAGAAACTAATTAGCCACATACTAATATCAAGCTAGAGTTATGAGCTATGGGCCAACAGCAAGGTAAGGGAGATAGGAACCTAGATGGGGTTCAACGGTTTGTGGCTAGTAGTGCCTTCTGGTTACTAGCAGAAACCATTAATGCTGGATGAGTGGACTTCCGGGAGCCATTGAGGTGGAAACCTGTTGCCCAGGTTGTCTGCCTTGAGTATTGTGCTAATTTAAAGAACTATCCAAATAGAATCAAACTGACAGCAGGAACTCGAAAGATTAGATAGGAAATATCTAATCTTTTAGCTAGATATGTAGTGAATTTATGTTAATGGGGCCAGTGAATTTATGTTAATAGGGGAGGAACAATTTTAGCTAGATATGTAGTGAATTTATGTTAATGGGGCCAGTGAATTTATGTTAATAGGGGAGGAGAAGGAAGGTCAGAATGGTTGCATAACTTGAAGAATGAAGTCAATATCACTGAAATGTACACATACAAATTGTGTTTTGTATATATTTTCAAGAGTGATAAAAAATTAATAAGTTTGTAAAAAGGCATTATCTGACAGATTTTAAAACAGTTACTGTAAAAATCTTTTGATTAGAAATTTCAAACACTCTTGAAACAAAACCAAAATAAATAGAGATGTAAAGGAAAAAAATAAAAGTTTGGAACTGAGTTCAGAAAGAGCCTAAAAGAACCCAAGACTATGGTCCATGGTCACCCTTCAGGTAACTGAACTCAGTGGCTCAATTTTCAGCCAAACAGCAGATACATATATGGGGGTGGGGGCGGTGGAGGGACAACACTAGTGAGATATGCACATCATAGAATGGTCAACCACTCAAGATCAAAAGGGCAGCATTTGCCTCAGGACAAAATTCAGAAGAGTTGGGAAAGAAGGAAGAAGAAAATAAGAATTACAAGGAAAGTAATTCTTATCATCTGCTTGCAAACCTTCACTCAATGCACAATAAAAAATTGGAGCTGGAAAATACAATAACTGGAACAAAGTCTCAGTAGGATTGGCTTAACAACAGAAAGGATGAAACAGAGGAATGAATAAAGGAACTTTAAAAAAACAAACAATAAAAATTACCCAATAGAGAAAATTACCCACAGAGAAAATAAATCAAAAGGAAATGAATGGAACACCAGAGACCTATGGAAGTATATATAGCAAAATACTCATATTATTAAACCCCAGAACAAAAGGAAAAAGGCGGAGTAAATGGGTACTGAAAAAAATTCTTAAAACTTCCCAAATTTGGCAAAGCAAATACTCAAGATTCTGAGGTAACGCTTGGGTCTTTGATATCCAATGTTGTAATAACAGAAATATTACAAGTGGATGATTTTAACAAACAGAAATTGATTCTTTCACAGTTTGTTGTTGTGTTGTTGGTGTTGTTAGGTACCAGCAAGTTGAATTCAACTTATAGTGACCCAATGCACAACAGAATGGAAAACTGCCTGGTTCTGTGCCATCCTCACAGTTGTTGTTATGCTTGAGACTATTACTACTGCCACTGTGTCAATTTATCTGTTTGAGGGTCTACCTCTTTTTCATGATCCTCCACTTTACCAAGCATAATGTCCATCGCCAGGGACTGGTCCTTCCTCATAACATGTCCAATGCACACCTTTTCTGATTTTTAAACCATTCAGTATTCCTTTGTTCTGTTCTCACGATTGCCTCTTGGTCTATGAACAGGTTCCTCATGAGCATAATTAAGTGTTCTGGAATTCCCAGTCTTTGCAAGGCTGTCCATAGTTTATTATCCACACATTTGAAAGCCTTTGCATAATAAATAAAGCACAAATAAACATCTCTTTCTTATTGTCTACTTTTAGCCAAGATCTATTTAGCAATGATATTCCTCCTTCCATGACTTCTTCTGAATCTGGCTTGGATTTCTGGCAGCTCCCTGTAAATTTACTGCTGCAATTACTTTTTAATCTTCAGGAAAATTTTACTTGCATGTGATATTATTTAATGCTTTCAGCATTCCACTGGGTCACCTTCCTTTGAAATGAGCACAAATATAGATAATTTTCAATTGGTTGCTATCTTCCAATTTTCTTGGCATTGGCAACTGAGTGCACTCAGTGCTACATCAGTTTGCTGAAAGATTTCAATTTGCATTCCATCAATTCCTGGAGCCTTGTTTTTTCATCAATCTCTTCAGTGCAGCTTTGACTTCTTCCTTCATTACCATTGATCTTGATCATATGCTACTTCTTGAGATGGTTGAACATCAGCTAGTTCTTTTTGGTGCAGTAGCTTTGTGTATTCCTTCCATCTTCTTTTGCTATATCATTTAATATTTTCCCTATAAAATCATTCAATATTACTACACGAGACTTAGATTTTTTTTCTGTTCTTTCACCTTGAGAAATGATAGATATTTTTCCCTTTTGGTTTTCTAACCCCAAGTCTTTGCACATTTCATTATAATACTTTATTTTTTGTCTTCTCAAGTTGCTGTTCAAAGGCAAAAAATAAGAGGTCAGATGATGAGCCAGATTCAGGATCAAGAACCAGCAAAAAGCGAATGAGTTTTGTCAGGATGTCCACATATATAGGAAGCAGACCCCACCCATGAGGAAATGTCTTTTCAATTGATTGACTGCTCATATCAGATCTCTTGAGGTGATTTCATTATATCTTATCTACTTATGGGGGATGATTACATCATAACTGTCCATAACTTGACAAGCATACATAGCTCCTTAATCCATATATAATCTCTAATAAAAGATCATTTTAAAGTCATACTTCTGCTGAACATGATACATGTACACATACAACTGAAAACACATCAGTGCCATTTATATCTTATAATTGAAAAAACACAAATAATTAATTAACATATACAAGAAAGAAATACTCATAACAGTAATAGTTCTCATTTTTATAATTGTTCACATGGTTGTAACTGGTGTTTAGAACTACCTTCTTCCATCACTTATTCAGTATTGCCTTCTCCCTCAGCAAGCACCTGAGCTGGTCATGGATCTTTGTCTGGTAAGGTGAGCATGGCCTATTGCTGCATTTCATTTGCTCCGAGTCCCTTGATCTGAGACTTTGTTGTGTGGGATCCCCAGAAGATGGCTATGGCATTCTGTAAGTATACAGATGGTAGTTTTGGTAGATGCATTGCATGCAGGGAAAGGCAAATCCATACCCAGAGTTTAAGTATCTATCCCAGTAACAATGGACCATCATAAAAGTGGTCCAATGTAATCAACCTGCCATCAAGTTGCAGCCTGAGCAC